AAGGGCGTGTTAGCGGCGTGGATGGCGGCGGGAGGGTGAAATGTGGGCGACGCCCGCCCCTCGGCTTTCCTTCGTGGGTTGGGTCTGGAGCTTGGGGTTGGTTTTTTGGGTTTTTTTCCCCTTAAACAGCTCTTTCTACATCAATCAAGGCGCTCTGCTGAATTTAGCAAATGAGATGCAGTCCAGCTGTCTGTGAATCGACTAGTATTTGGAGTAGAGAGAAAGATGGGTTGCAGAGGAAATAAATTGTGTTTTATAGCCCTGAGCCAGCTCGTAAGGAGCAAAGCCATTTTGGAAATGTAGTGCTTGGCCAAAATCTGCGTTTGAGTATGGCAGCACTGTTAGTTACATAGGCATTCAATGAAAGGCGAGAAAACGCCTTTGCTCTCACGCACTGTGCTTGGGAAATCTAAACAAGCTATCTTTAAGCTGCTTTAGGGTCATAATCGTCCCGCTGAGATCTGAAAACTACTAGAATGAGAAAAACGTTACTAGAAATGGGATCAGCCTCGTCTCATGTTACTGCCATTTGGAGGAGATAGGAGAAACAGAAAAGCAGGAAAAGGAAGTGCCAGGAAGCGAGAATTGTAATAGAGAAACGGAAAGAAGAGAAACAATCTTCAAAAAAAGTCATCACCCAAACCATTAGTTAAAAAAATTTGTGGCGCTACAAATGTGAATAGCCTTTGCTTGTAATCATCAGTTCAGGTATCACTTGAGAGAAAGTAGATTTCTGCTGCTTGAAAACCACTGGGGAAGAAGGGAGACCTTGTGTCACATTTGGTAGCTTGTTAACTTTTTATTTAAAGAGTGAAAATAGTATAGCAAAGTCTTCATACTATCTTCCCTTCCCCCCCTCCTTAAATGGTGTGCATGAAATCATCAAACCTGGCTAATTAAAACCAGATGACGTGGTGAAGAGTATTGACTCTGCCATGGACTAAAAGGTACATCCTAAAGAATGAACAAATCTGTCTTGAAAGAAGCGCAGCCAGAGGACTCGTTAGAAGCCAGGATGAGGAGACATGGTTGACAGAGTTTGGGCATTTGGTTAGGAAGATGATCCTTGGAAGATGACATCATGCTTGGAAAAATGGAGGGTCAGAGAAGAAAAGGAAGACCTTCAAGGAGATGGATTGACGCACCGACTGCAGCAGTGTAGCACAGCAGGGATTGTGAGGATGGCACCAAATTGGACAGGATTTCCTCTGTTATAAACAGGGTCACTGTGAGTCAGAGCAGATGCTGTGGCTTTATTTTCCTAAGTACACTATGCTGTTATTTTTTTACATGTTGCTGATTTCAATGTCTGTTATTTTTGTTTTGGTTAGTTTTGGAATTGGGGTGGTGGGTTTTTTAGTTTTTTGAGGTTTGGGTTTCTTTGGTGGTAGGGTTTTGTTTTTTTATTGTTGGATTTAATGTTAAGTACTTTTTGATCTACATCTTGGTGCTTTTTAATGCACAAGTTTGGTTGCCAGCTGCAGACCCTCACCAGCCTACCCTGGAGTTACTCCAAAACAGTGCCCCCTGTTGACAGAATTCCTTTCTCCAGTGAAGCCGAATTCTGCTTTCTCCAATGTAGAAAGAAGTAATTTGTTTTAGACTCACTGGACAGCAGGCCCTGGCTCAGGAAATGTACAAGTTTGTGCACACTGCTTCAGTTAATCCTGCTGTCAATCTAGCCAGCCACTGTGACCGATTCATTTGAATCCCTCACGTATTTGATGCCATGGAGACCTGGGCCCATAGAGATCACACGTGTTTTGAATGTACCCACAATGTCCTCCTGCCTGGCTTCATGTCCGTTGCACCTCAGGACCCAACTACGGGTAAGCAGTGACCCCTGCTCACTGCAGGACCAGCCTGTGTTCAGAAGACAACACCCCTGTGCTCAGCCCTCCTCCTGACTTTTCACCTATTTTTTTTGTACCAGGAACTTGAAGGCCTGCAGGGAACTCCATTGCTCTCAGGCTATGCACTGCTTGAGGGCAAATGCATGGTTTCATTTGTTTATTTTTTAGTTACTGGGGTGCTATAAAAATCAATCCAAGATTCTGTGACCAGATTTATATCTGTATTATACAAATATGACCCAAACTAACATTTTCAGTCTTAAATAAAGAATTCACTTCTGGAAATGCCATGAAACATTTATGTTGCATTCATAGGCATGCTATATAAGAACTTTTTTTAAATATAATTGAGTCATTTTCACCTATTATCAGTGTGTATACTTTATGGATATGCAATTTGTGAAAAGCTTAATTCTTTTTTTGTTAACTCTGTAACTTGTGGCCGCTGTGAAGCTGAGCACTGTGACACTGATGTGTCAAATGCGATAATGTTTACCCATGGTGGACAGTGTTTGGTGGTGCTCCCTGTTTAAAACAAGCTTGGAAGCAAGAGTGGCATCCACTTCCTTAAATAGCTTGCTTCCGGAAACCCTGTGAACCTGGAGAAAGGATGAATGTCATGCAAGGGTCAAGGACTTTCATTCATAGGGTCGCCATGAGTTGCCTGCGACTCAACGACACTTAACAACAACAACAACTAGCATTAACAACTAAGACTCAGTACTTATTGTTGTTGATTGCCTTCAAGTTGAGCACGACTTACAGAAACCTTAAGAACAAAAGGTCAGAAGCCCCTCTATAACTATCAACATTAATCAAAGTTCATAGATTTTCTGGAGGCATGTTATTTAGGAAGTGGATGCCATTGCTGCTTCCAAACCTGCCATAGTGTATTATATTCCATTTAGTTGCCTCTGATGTATAGCGACCTGTGTACAGCAGCTCTAAACCCTTCCCTGTCCTGAGCCAGACTCACTAACTCTGACACACCAACCTGCATTGCGCCATTTACTGTATCAATCCATCTCATCCTGGGTCTTCCTCTCCTGTGCTGTCTCTCCACCCTTCCGAGCATGATGTTCTTCTTCAAGGACCAGTCTCTCTTGGCCATGTGCCCAAAGTAAGTGAAGCAGAACATCAAAATCCTAGCCTCCAGGGGACTTGGTTTCATCCTCTCCAAGACAACTATTTGTTTTCTTGGCAGTCAATGGTATGTTCAAGACTGTTCTCAAACACCACAACTCAAAGACATCTATTCTTCTGTGGCTAACCTTGAGGAAAATGGGAATCTCAGAACACTTGATCATGCTTATACAAAATCTATGCTTGGACCAAGAAGCAATCCTCAGAACAGAGCAAGGAGACACTGTGTGGTTCAAGGAAAGGAGTGCATCAGAAATGCATTCTGTCCCCGTACCTTTTCAATTTGTATGCAGAACAGATCATTCAGGAAGCAGGGCTTTATGAGGAGGAGTGTGGCATCAAGATTGGAGGAAGACTCATTAACAGCCTACGATATGCAGATGACACAACCCTGCTTGCTGGAACTGAAGAAGACCTGAAGCGCTTACTGCAGAAGGTCAAAAACTTCAATATGGATTGAAGTTCAACATCAAAAAGACAAAGATTCTCACCCCTGGGCCAACTGACAGCACCATATTAGATGGAGAAGAGGTTGTTAGCAATTGCAGTTTGCTCAGCTACACAATCAAGTCATAGCATCAGCTGTCAGGAAATCAAAAGATGAATTGCATTAGGAAAATAGACCTTTCCAGAGTGCTGAAGAACAGCAATGTCAGTCTAGATACAAAGGTGTGCCTAATCCTGGCCGTGGTCTTTTCATTAAGATTCACTACTAGTTTGATTTATTGTTTGTTTTTTTTTTTAAATTGTAAACATGTCATCTATAAAAGTATTTAAGAAAACAAAAACTTTTATAATAGTTCACTAGAAAGTGCAAGAATTTGCTCTGTACTTTTTATGCTGTCTCTTCTAGTGTAACTCTTTTATTCCTGATTCTAAATAGCATTTAGCCCAGTAGTTTTCTCATCACAGGAAACTCCAAAGAATGTCTCACAGGAAAGACCAAACAGACTCTTTGGATGTACCTCGGCAGATTTCTAAATTAGCTAATATACTGGGTAGAAAATTGGATAGTGGTATAATTGGAAAGGTGGTTGATCATTGCAAAACCATCTGTTGCTAAACTACTTTTTGGTGACTCTCAGATGGCTAATCCTATTGTCAGGTGGGTCACCATGAATGTCTTCACTTACTAAGTACCTTTGGAGCCCACATGATGGTTGGAGGACTATACAGCTTTAAATTATCAAATTAATTCTTTCTGTACAAGTTAGCTGGGGGAAATGTAGCTGGGGAAGGTGGCTTGTGTGTCCAAAGTGGGGCAGAAAGAGTTCTAATTAGCTATATACAGTTGGAATTTCATTCCTCTCAAAGTATAAACACAGTTAAAAATATAAAATTCTTCATTCTTAGTTTATAAAAGTCTTACATGTGAAGCACTGTGTATATGAACTTTGTAAGCAAACTAACAAAAAAAATGAAAAATATCATGACTTTAAAAAGAAAAAGTCTCACAAAAGTATTGTTTGGTTATGGAGTGCTTTTCTGGGTATTAAGTAAGTCAGTCGCTTAGCCATACCAGTAGGTTGTGCAGTGTGCAGTGAAGTGCTGTTCCCATTCCTTAAAGGAATTACCTGCCAC